AGGATAGTCTCGATCTCCTGACCTCGTGATCCGCCCGTCTCGGCCTCCCAAAGTGCTGGGATTACAGGCTTGAGCCACCGCGCCCGGCCTTTAATTTTTAACCTAAGCAGAATTTTCGTATTAAAAACTCACTTTTTTGGCAGAAAGTAACAGCTTCAGCATGTAATTTGATGTGTCACAGGGTTTTAACATTAAAAAAACTTTACGCTAAATTAAAAACAAAACAAATCTTATAGACTAGTCGTGCCATGAGAGAGGAATGTATTTAACTGACGGCTCTTGTAGTTCCATTTCTTTTTCCTTGACTGCGATTTTTTTTTTTTCCTGAGACAGTTTTGCTCTGTCGCCCAGGCTGGAGTGCACTGGCACAATCTCGGCTCACTGCAACCTCTGCCTCCTGGGTACTAATTCTCCCACCTCAGGCTCCCACGTAGCTGGGATTACAGGCACTCGCCATCACGTCTGGCTAATTTTTGTATTTTTAGTAGAGACGGGCTTTCACCATGTTGGGCAGGCTGGTCTCAAACTCCTGACCTCAGGTGATCTGCACACCTCAGCCTCCCAAAGTGCTGGAATTACAGATGTGAGCCACCGCACCTGGCTTACTTGACTGTGATTTTGAAGAAAACAGGCAACTAGAAATATTCCTCAGTGATTTATCTTTACAAAGGCCTTTGTCTAGGTGATCCCAGGAAGACCTGTGTTCTTTTCTTTTTTCTTTTCAGGCAGGATCTCGCCCTGTCACCCAGGCTGGAGTGCCGTGGTGCAATCATGACTCACTGCAGCCTCAACTTCCTGGGCTCAAGTGATCCGCCCACCTCAGCCTCCCGAGTAGCTGGGACCACAGGCACACACCACCACCCCCAGCTAATTTGTAACATTTTTTTGCAGAGACAGAGTTTCACCATGTTGGCCAGGCTGGTTTCGAACTCCTGGGCTCAAGCGATCCTCCTGCCTAAGCCTCCCAAAGTGTTGGGATTACAGGCGTGAGCCACCACGCCTGGTTTCAGAAAGACCTGTTTCTGCCACTTAAGGTTCGTGGATGAGTCTGTAGTAAATTGAAGCAGATGAGTGCAGCCAGGTCCGGCTGTCCCTTTTATGACATCAGCAGCTGGGTTTGCTGCAGGCAAGCACGTGGGCAGCCAGGAGCTGTAAGAGGAGTGATGGCTGCTTGACAGGCTGCACGAGCGTGGCGTTCCCATGCAGTCTTCTGGTAGCCCAGTGACTTACAGGAGTGTATGGAGAGGACCTGAGTCGGCGGGTAGACGGACAGATGCATCTGAGTAATAACTCATGAGTTACAGTGCTGTTTCTTTCTTTCTTTCTTTCTTTCGTTTTTTTTTTTTTTTTTTTTTTGAGGTGGGGTTTCACTCTTGACACCCAGGCTGGAGTGCAATGGCAAGATCTAGGCTCACTGCAACCTCCACCTCCTGGGTTCACGCGATTCTCCTGCCTCAGCCTCCCAAGTAGCTGGGATTACAGGCGCCCGCCACCACACCCAACTAATTTTTGTATTTTTAGTGGAGACGGGATTTTACCATGTTGGCCAGGCTGGTCCCAAACTCCTGACCTCAGGTGATCCTCCTGCCTTGGCCTCCCAAAGTGCTGAAATTACAGGCGTGAGCCACCACGCCCGGCCAGGAAGGGCCTTTTACTCACGGTCATATTTGCTGAAGCTTCACTCGCTGTCTTGAGTTTATCTTTAAAACTTGCCACCTGTTTTTGTTGCGATGCTAGTAACAGGAGTTTGTTCTCCCAAATGGCACCAAGGGTATGTCCTTCAGATAAGGGTCTTCCCTAACCCTTGCCCAAGCGCTCTCAGTACCCATGCATGGATGTATGTTAAGTGTACATGCCATATTGTGTGTGTATATTTTACATATATTTGATGACGTTTCACTGCCAATTAGGGAAAAATAGATCTTTTCAACACATATGGTAGAATAGAAAGTGAGAGAAACAATACAAATGGTACTTGGCTAGACTCCAAATAAACTGCAATTGGTGGACTTTTCAGCCGCTCCTTCTTCACGATCTTACTGGTATGTGCGTTGTGTGTGTTCCCTGGTGTTTAAGTTCTGTTTTGCTTTGTTTTGTTGTTTTTTTTTTTTTTTTTT